TGTTGTTGTTGTTGTTGAAGTTGTTTAACTGGCCTGGGCTGGTTTTGAACCCGCCAGTCTTGGTGTATGTGGCTGGCATTATAACCACTGTGCTACAAGAGCTAAAACAACAATTATGTTTTTAAATAACAGCAAATTTTTACATTTACCTCTTCCCTCAACTTTGCAAAATGATTATTTAATTTTGCAGACTCTCAGGCCTAAGCTCAGATTTTTTTCTAAAAGTGAAGCCAAATGCTGGGCTCAGTGTAAGCTTATGCCTATAATCCTAACACTCTGGGAGGCTGAGGCAGGTGGATTGCTTATGCTCAGGAGTTCAAGACCAACCCTGAGCAAGAGTGAGACCCTGTCTCTACTAAAAATAGAACAAACTAGCCAGGCGTTGTGATGAGCACCTGTAGTCCCAGCTACTTGGGAGGCTGAGGCAAGAGGATCCTTTGAGCCTAAGATCTTAAAGTTGTGAGCTATGACACCAGGGCACTCTATCCAGGGGCAACAGAGTGAGACTCTATCTCAGAAAAAAATATAAAGAACTAAAGAGATAACAAATATAATCCCAAACCATTCCACCCCCCCACTTTCTAGCACCACACTGTAGAAAGAGAGATGGCAATCTCCTCTCCCTATCCAGATATGGCCTTACCTTTGTAAAACACACCCCAAACACCCTTCTTCTCTGATAGCAGCCAGGTTTTGAGACGAGGTACTTTCTTGAAGTAGGCACAGGTGCAAACAAAGAGCAAACCAAACACCAGAATCCCATCCAAGGAGTATACTGTTACATAAAGAAGAAAAGAAAATCTTTGGTGTGGATCTATCTTGTGACAGGCAAACGCCTGAACTCTCGGGAAGACGAGAGTGTGATAGGATAACAAAACGATAACCTCAAGTGCAAATGTCAACACTTGACAGAAGGGGACCAAAGTCCTAGGACTAACTAGGTTACTTTATTGCTTCCAAAATATTGTTTATAGCTATCCGTCCCCTTCACAACAAATTCACTGCTCCCTCCCCTTACCTTTCAAGAGGCTAGAAAGCCTGGGTAGAGTACATCAGTTTATGTGGATGGAATTAACTTCCCAGAAATAACTAGTGTTGGCAATAATTGAAAGAGACGTGAGAATTTTTGGAAACTGAGCACAGAGAATTAAACATGTTGTTATAAATCATTTATGATAAGTGATAAAGGAGCGCTAGATATTTAGCCAATTCTGTCAGATCTGTATCTATTGACAAAAAATAAAACTTAATAGAAACTGCAAGAGTTAAAATCCACGTGACTACAATTTTCCTATACTTATCTTACATCTTATGCATGGTATTCTACTTATAAACCAAATTTATGCCAGAATAATAAGTGATTCTTGTAAAAAAGAAAAAAATTTGAGGGTTCAACAAAGTAGAAAATGTTAAGCTCTCAGTTTTATTTCTTACATATGTAAACCAAGCTATTTCTTCTGCAGGGAAGCACAATGAATCACAGCAAAAAAAGACATTAGGACACAACAGTGAGGAAAATGACTAAAATTTATTCAGCAATAACTATGTGTCAGATTGCTCTGTTATTTCCTGGTTCAGATTTTATCTTGCTTTAGGTAATGTCCCTTCTCTTACTGTGCTTAGCATCCAGAGGCCTCTGACTTCCCAGGAAGCTCTAAATGAGTATGACAGACAGGGTGCTATTTTTAACTGCACATGAACTTTATGGCCACCCTGTATAACTGGTGTCTGCCAGTTCTAGACCACACTATCTATCTCTTCCTTCAGTAAACTGTCCCACAACTGTCACTAAGAAAGGATCCTGTAAATCAATACACTAAGTTCTTTTGAGGACTTTACCTTTACACTACTCTTTTTCTCCCATAAATTTTTGCAGACAAGACCAAAATTCACAAGCAAGTGAAATTCGAGTCTCCAGTAGTAGGTCAATAGACAAGGGACCTTTGAGCAATGCTTTCTTGAGCCCCTCAAATCATACTGCCTAAAAGGCTTTCTCTTCTCCTTTCCCGTGAGCTGACTAAAGGTTATGTTTGGAAATCATGTTTATAAAAAGCTTGAAGAGGTCTGGAAAATTAGGTCAGATAAACAGGGTGACAACTGCCACATCACTTAGAAGAGGCAGTATCTAAATCCATCTCTTGCAACACTAGCCAGGGGGCCAGACGGGATCACCTACCTAGGACTTCATAAACAAAGGTAGGCTTCCCAGCATTTTCTCAAAACAAGGGAAACATTTGGGAGGTCTACATTCACCTACTCCCCAAAGTGTAGGATTCTCTGTGATTTCTCAGTCCTCTCAACAAGCCTATTGTCTGAAAGTATAAGAACGTAGGGGGCCGGACAGAGGATCCTCTCTCTTTCTTGTGTCTACACAGCAGTTCTACCAGGACTGGGCTTCCCAAGGGCCAGAAAGAACTTCTAGGAAAGAGAAAAGGGAGAGCAAAGGACAGGGAGCGAGGACTCGAGATGTGGGCACTACGGGTTGGAGGGTCCTGGACGGGTACAGGAAGGGGGCATCCGTGGTGTGGTATGGGGAACACAAGTTAGGGGCGCCGAGAGGCCAGGCGGGGCTGGGCTGGGAGGGGGCGGGGAGAACCACCACGTCAGTCCCGGCCCCGCCCGCCACGTTTCCCCCTAGTCCATCACTCCCACCCTCCACTCGGGGCACCAGCTCTCACCGTTCGTCATGGCGGCTGGGCCTGGGCTTAGATGGAAAGTCTGGGTTCAGCGGTGGTAGCGGCGAAGGCGGGGAAACCCGACTCCCGCTTGACACTTCCCGATCCGGGCCGCGGCGACGGGCAGGAGCCGCAGCACGCAGGCGCAGGGGCCCAGAGGTGCGTGCCGAATGCTGCCGGGGGTGGCTAGCCGATTGCCGAGCGAGAGACCCTGCGTCCTTACGTAGGACAAAAAGAACTTACGCGCGCGGCTTCCTGCGTGGCCATGGTAACCAAGTCTCTACAGAGTGGAGCTGCAAAGTTAGCGCCGGAGTGCAACCTGACGGATTCGCATCGTGCTGGGTTGACCTGGCTACGTTAGCCAGACATCGGTGATATCTGCACATCTCTTCTCTGATGACACTTTGACAACGTGACAAAAGACATCGGGGAGGAGGAGACAAAACTACGAGATTTGTAAACGGAAATCCTTGACTGCACACAATTCGCCTGCTTTATTGGAGTCCGAGAGAAAGTGCAACACTGAATCTTCCGAGGCAGACATTCTAAGGTTACCTACCAGCTTGCAATAGTGGCCTAGGACCTAAAGTGGCTCTGCTCCTCTCTGCAACAGTGCCATCTGCTGGCTGCGGCCTGCTTGGTTACCCAGAAGAAAAGCAGGCAACGCAGGCTTCTAGAAGTTGGGGTGGAGAGGCAAGCCAGAAAAATGTCTAATATTGGAGAGAATCTTTGAGAACATATGGATAAGTGCATATGCAAAAAACGAACGGAAGCTGTATGGAGCAAAATCTAATACAAGGGCTCAGCGCCTGTGACTCAAGCGGCTAAAGCGCCAGCCACTGACACCTGAAGTGGCGGGTTCGAATTCAGCCCGGGCCTGCCAAACGACAATGACGGCTCCAACAATGACGGCTGCAACACCAAAATAGCCGGGTGTTGTGGGGAGGGTGCCTGTAGTCCCAGCTACTTGGGAGGTGGAGGCAGGAGAATCGCTTGAGCCTAGGAGTTGGTGGTTGCTGTGAGCTGTGATGACCCAGCACTCTACCCAGGGCGACAGCTTGAGGCCCTATCT